CTTCCGATCAAACCAATTCTGTGATTCAACAGCTTTCTGCGGTAGCCGACTTTGACTTGGCTACAAGATGCAAGACTCTAGCCCTTTGAACTAAGCATACCATGTAGTTCAGGAGGCTGGTCTGGCTTATCAATGTTATGAGGCTGTTTTCAATGGGGAAAAGAAAGACTTGAAGTATCTGCATGCTTTCTATTTCTGCTTACTTCCTTGTTTTACTAAAACAAAGAGTGAATTATGTTTTCTTCCACAGGCTGTGTGGGCTGGTTGGGGCCATGCATCTGAGAACCCTAAACTACCAGAACTTCTCCACAAAAATGGGATTGCTTTCATGGGTGAGGATATATGCTTCTGATCTAATGTCTAGTCCTTATTTTAAGATGGGTAGGTTTAGTGAGATAGAAAATCCTGAGTCTAAAAGAGAGCCATGAGGTATGGCTTACAAGTGCAAGATTGATGATGTGTTCTTTACAGTAGTCAAAGCAACAGACTACGCTGTCTAACAGTGTAGTCTGTTGCCAATCATTGAGGCTAATGAAACTAGATAAGGTTTGGACATATGCTGGGAAATAGTTCTTGTGTGGGAGAAGTGGCAAGTTTTCCAACAAATCCTTTGAATATTGTGAGATACAAAATCAGGACATCAGAATGTCGCTGTGATCATTTTGTAGTTTGGTTTTGTGGAAAAAGAGTTTTATGTGGACAGTACATGAAGTTTGTGATCTAGTTAGCAGTGTAGTTAACCAAGTGCTGGAGGTTTGATGCAGTAAGCCTCATAACCACATGGATCTGAACATTGGATAACGTTTTGGACATATGCAGTGTTTAAAACTAAAGATGGACTTGTGATAAAAGTCATGGACGGAACGTAGCCTGGGGATAGCTGTATCGTGTTCTGACTTTTAGCAGATCTTTTTATCTGTAGTGTGTTGAGCCATAGCCACATAAATACTTTGGACCTTTGAAGAGGAGTGGATTTGAAAGCTGGATTTTAATTCCAGGTTAAATCTCTTACCAATCATACACTACAGTCCCATGCAAGCCACATTTCAAGTAAAATGAGGGCACTGAATTATTATTCTGGTAGTATGTGATATGCGCACCTAATACCGGTTACTAGTGCGTGCCATCCCCTTGTGTGCAGGCCCAGCCTGAGGACTCATGGACGGAGAGTGGTGCTTGCAAGCGGAGTGTGCCAAGACTTCTTTAACACGATGGGTGCTTAACAAGCTGTTGTGATGTGTCTGCGGTTGCATTGCTGTAGTTTTAGTTGCTTTTTCCTCCTTGATCAAAAGTACTCTAGTCTGTTTGCTTTTAGTTTCCTGGCTGATACAGCTAATGCTTTCTGTTTAGGTTCAGAAATGTTGATTGATGCCAGTTCAGATGTGGCATGCAGCAACCTTGCTAAGGTGTCTATTTATCCCTCTTACGTGGAACCTAAATTAGACTTCTGGGCATTTCCCTAATGTCTGATATCTTGTGTCTCTTTCTTGCATTGTTTTTGCTCTTTGCAGGTCCTCCGAGCCAAGCAATGTGGGCCTTAGGAGATAAAATTGCTTCTTCAATAGTGGCTCAGACTGCCGGCATTCCAACTCTTCCTTGGAGTGGCAGTGGTAAGACGGAAATTGCCTTGTGTTTATCAAGATCGTTCTAATATTTTTTTTTTTTCCCCCTGCAACACGGCTAATCTTTTGGAAGTGTTTGTGCACAAAAAAGTGTTGCAAGAGATGTTCCATCTGTTTAGGTTTTCAAATTTGTGTTATCTGAGGCTTAGACATAATGACTACATTATATATGGATATGCTGGGCAAAATTTACATGTTGTGTAGTGTGCTGTTAGTCTAACAGTACAGCTGTAGTATCTGGTATTTCTGCAGTCTCTACTTTTCTAGCATATAGCTTGTAGTTTCGGAGCATGCAGCCAATACTCTGCTTCCATGGAAGCTCTGTGCGGTTTCAAAAGACACTAAATAACAACCTCTTTCTCAGAATTGCACAAGATAAGTGAAGGAGGATATAACTTGTTGGATGAAAACATCTGCTCCCCAGAAAACAGAAATGTCTGTTTACATTCTGCATTCTCTTTTTTTTAAATGCTCCCAGACTAGTTCCGTGTGAAACTATGACTGCTGTTTGTTTCACCAATGTCTGATGTGTGTGTTCTCACTGAGACTTGCAGCAGAATGAGCTAAGACGATAATGCTTGTATTTCAGGTCTTCGAGTGGACTGGCAGGAAAATGATCTTCAGAAGCGTATCTTGAATGTTCCTCAGGAACTATATGAAAAAGGCTATGTGAAAGACGCAGATGATGGACTGCGGGTAGGTGGCTAGTATTTTGGAGGTATTTGAGGTTTTGCTGCATGCATGCCTGGAGAGAGCTAGGGGTTTAATTTATTTTTAATGGGAGTACAAACTAGAACTAGACTGTCAGCCTCACAGAACTGAGTCTTGGATATTGGAAAGTGATCTTTCACATATCATCTTTGGGCCCAGCCTGCAGAATTAGGTGAGAATTAGGAGAAAGAGACAAAAGATGGGACCAAAGTTGTATTTCATTAAGGGCTTTCTTCTGGTTTTTGTTTAATGGAGGAAGAAGGTGTTTTTAGTAAAGGCTCATGACCTCACACTTGATTTCATCTTTTGTTAAGTTTCTGTTTGAGGGACATTTCTAGAATAAGAAATATTCCTGGCACAATAAAGGATTTGGGAGTTTTCCTTTGTGAAGAGAGGGGCTGGAGTATATGATTTTTCATGTTACTCAGCTTAATGATTTTCTGTATTATACAAAAGCTTTTCTGTGAGTTTGTAAATTTAATTGCATGAAGCACTGACAGAAGATTTTTGTGATGACTTTGAAAGGCTAGAATTCTCTGTAGTCACAAAATCACTGCTGATTTTTCCAACTACAGGCACCCTCTCAAACTGCAATATTTGGTTTCTATCCACTTCATGTCTTGGTTGCTAAATAGTCAAACATGGAAGCTTGTACACAAATCAGCAGGGGAATAATGATCTTTTCAACTTGATTCTGCTACCTTTTTGTACTTACCCATGTTTTTCTGCCCATCTTGATCAGGCTGCTGAGGAGGTTGGCTACCCTGTCATGATCAAGGCTTCTGAAGGAGGAGGAGGAAAAGGAATTAGGAAAGTTAACAATGCAGATGACTTCCCCAACTTATTTAGACAGGTAACTTTTCTCATTGATTTGTGCTGTCTTATTCTAAATGTTCAGGTTGGGTGATTCTGAGACCACTTTATGGGAAATGTTAAAGAACTGAAAAAGACTGCATTATGTATTAGCGCCTGTTTAGCTACTTTGAATCATGAGTTCATGCTTTCTTTGCTCTGTATGTTGGCAGGATTTCGGTATATCTGCATATCCAATGCAGTTGTCAAATGCCCAAACATCATAGGAGATGCTGAGTAAATCCAAGTAATGGAGTGCATCTGCAATGTGACTCAAAAATGTTAAGGGACACGAGCCTTCTTTAGTTTATGGGTTTTTAGGAAAGCTGAGAGGAATGGAAATGGCACTGTAATTATATACAAGCGAACACGGGATATTTTCAGCCTTAAGTGGCCCAGTGAAAATATTACTGATGTTCCTTGCTTAAATTACTTGGGATGATTGTGACTGAGACAGGTATTTACAAAAAAAATGGTGTGCCTATTTATATGCTGTCTCTGCTGTAGGTGCAAACTGAAGTCCCAGGCTCTCCAATCTTTGTAATGAGATTAGCCAAACAGTCCCGCCACTTGGAGGTGCAGATCCTGGCAGATCAATATGGCAATGCCATCTCTCTCTTTGGCCGGGATTGCTCCGTGCAACGCAGACACCAGAAGATTATCGAGGAAGCACCTGCTTCTATTGCGACTTCAGTGGTGTTTGAGCACATGGAACAGGTGAGAGTGGCTCTGCAATTTTGCTTTTCCTTGTGAGACTCCAGAAACGGGCAGGACTTTTTTTTTTGACATCGCCCAGAGTTTTGTCTTGTTGAATCTTTCAGAAGAGCAGAATAGATTTGTGTGTCTTAAACTGCTTGGTGTGGGCAACTACTCACATTTCCAAAACTGACTGAGTCCACCATGTCCTGACAAACACCCTTCAAAAATGCACGCACCCCGAAAATAGCAGGGAAGTGTGTTTGAAATATATATTGTCATATTGAAAGCAAGCTGCAGGAGTTGTATGAATTGTCTAATGCCAAGTATTATAAATATTTGCTTCAAACTCTACCTTCTGTAAATTGTAAATGAAATAATGTGGAAATCAAAACTCCTGTGATGCGTGGTTTTCTTTGAGCAATTCTTGGACCTATTACAAGCTTTTGGATGTTTCAGAATGCCAGTAAAAAAGCCTGGAGTGGGTGAGGTGGATGAACAGAACAGAGGTAACTGAGCACAGGGCCTGGAAATCAAATATTCTTTTTTCTTGTATGCTAGTGTGCGGTGAAGCTTGCCAAAATGGTGGGATATGTGAGTGCGGGCACTGTGGAATACCTGTACAGCCAGGATGGCAGTTTCTACTTTCTGGAGTTGAATCCCCGCCTGCAAGTGGAGCACCCCTGCACAGAGATGGTGGCTGATGTTAATCTGCCGGCAGCGCAGCTCCAGGTGAGTCAAGTGCCCAGGCCCGGTGCTCCTGGAGGCTTTCAGAAGTACTCAAGCTGCGGTGTCTTGAAGAGACCTGAGCATGAAAAACCTGTTCTGCTGAAACCTTAGTAAAATAGGGGAGCGGACTCTTGTCTGAGTCACAGCCAGGGTTCTGTGTTAAAGCTGGATCACATCCTGACATTATGCAGATGAGTAGACAGTGGAGAGAATATAAAGACAGTATTAGAGAGCTCTACTGAATATGGCCTATGTCCTCATATACAGACAGGTGATATACGACTCCCCCACATTTCCTCCTCGACGAAAATACCCAGTGACTCAAAGGCCCATTTTGGTACTTTCTCAGATTGGGATTTATCTTCTGTGGCTGGAGCAAACCTTCATTCAGTATTCTAAAATATGTATACATCCCTTCCGTTGTGAATGTTTCACTAAGTTATAACTCTACCATTTAACTCTTTTTGATTGGGAAAGCAAAGAGAGGTTATTTTCTAGTTTTTTCTCCTGGACTGCTCAGGTAGACCTTTAGTTAAAAGGAATGTGAAGGGAAGCAATAGAGGAATAAAACATAGAGGTAGGAAAACTGATTTAAGGAAAGGTTGTGTGTCAGAAAAGCCTGTCTCAACAAGCTTTAGCCGTGAGTAGTTCAACTTCAAGCTCTGAAATTATTTTGTGAAACAGGCTGGCTTCTGATGCTGGCAGTGCGATCTGAGGCTGTGCCAGCTTTGAGCTGTGGCAGTTTTGAGTAGTGCATCGCCCACTCTGCCTCCAAGGGACAAGAGCCTCTTCCCAGAGTTTTTAATGACAAAAGGAAGGAAAAAAGAACAGACAATTGGATTTTTCATCTTTCAGCAAGTTCAGCAGTTGTTTGAAGTTCAGGAAAGTGTCTTGGGTCTTTTTAATCTTTATGAGCAGTTCCTGACTTCCAGAACAATTGTTTCCACCTCTCTAAGGCTCTCGATCGTCACAGATACTTCCTCCTCCAGGCTGAAGTCCCTACACTTTAGCCTTTCTACAAAACAGGATTTGTGCCTAATAATTACTTGATCTTGAATACATGTGGCAAAGTGAGCAAGAATTTGTCTTAGTTTATTGCTTTTTCTAGGGGAAGTCATGACAGTGGATGACAGTTATGGCTTACATGAGCAAGCAGGCTTTTTGTTGTTCTGATCCCCAGAGTAATGAGGGGATCCTTCACAGATCCAGTAGAAAGCATTTGTTGCATACACTGTGGATCATCTGTCCCTTGTGCATCCCCACCAAACTCCCTGTGTGCTGCCATGCCTTCTCCCTCTTCTCACCCCCTGTCTTTTCCACCAGTGGATGAATGCCACAGTCCTCTTCCCCTCTCTGTCGTACACCACATATGGGGATTTAGGTGCTTCTCTACTGCCATTTTCTCAGCTCTCCCATTCTTACCCTCTTGCTTGCTTTCTACTTTCTTACTTCTCCCTGCTGTTTGCATTTTGAAGTTTGTTGCATAGATGGCAGAGAAAGCAAACGGTTGAACTGTAATGTCTCGCAGGCGGCTCAGGATCATCATTTTGTCAGGAGGCTTTTTGGCTTTGGCCTGAGCCTTCTCGCAGCCAGTGATTCCAGTAGCTCTGTGTCTGTATTTGCCAGGCTTTGAGAGTTTTGTAACTGGTCAGATGCTTTCCTCGTTGTTTTGACCCTGTTCTTCATATTGCTGATGCTAGATACAATTTCATACAATGGCGCATTGATATTGTGACCAGTTTGGTCTTTTGTCTGTTGGTGCCTGGCTAACAGCTGAAATAAATGGTTAAACTAAAGCTCAGCCTTTCTGAACTGCAGCTGTAAAAAAAAAAAAAAAAATCCCAGCTAATGTGGGAGGTTACACCATAAGGACACGGTCAGCAGCCAGTTCTGCAGGTTACTCTCTCTATAGTTTATAGTCGCAAAATTCCACAGTTTCCTATAACCAGTCAGGGACCTTCTGTCTCACTGGGACCTTGGACCTTAATATGTTTTTAACAGGCCTAATGTGTGCCCATCTCAGCTGACCTGGCACTGCCCAGCTTTCTGTGGAGCTTTTTAATCAGTCAGTGGAAAATACTGGCTTAAGGGCTTAAGGTGGCTGTGACACTGAGCTCAGCTGTCCTGAGAAATATGAATGTTCCAAGACATGTCAATGGAGAAGGCTCACATCAGAAAATAGGCACGCATATTTTCTATGCTAGAACTGCAGCATCAGCTTCTGCAGAGAATTGGTGGATTTAATTCTTCAAGGAACAGATGCTCTCTGTGAGGAGAGAAACTTACTTAGTGGTGGTTTCTTTTATTATTTTATTGTTTTCATTGTTATTACTACTATTTTTCCTTAGATTGCCATGGGGATTCCCCTGCACAGGATCAAGGATATCCGAGTGATGTATGGTGTTTCTCCATGGGGAGATGCATCTATTGATTTTGAGAATTCAGCCCATGTCCCCTGTCCGCGCGGCCACGTCATCGCTGCACGTATCACCAGTGAGAATCCTGATGAGGTGAGTGTTTTAAATTCTATAGTTACTGATCACACTCTGATAATGGTAGGCTTTACACCTAGGTTCAATCCCTGCTACTGATCTGGAAAATTTTGGCAGCAAATTTAAAAGATTCTTCCCTTACCTCACTTTGCTGACGGTTCTTTAGACTCTGGTTAGACACAGCCTGAACTTACTTGTGTATATACCATGTTGCAGCACAAAGAGGTACTCTAGCCTTCAGAACTCTTAATTACTTCCCTAATTCTGCATTATTTACTTTTTCTTTAGGATGTATAGCAATGTCTGTCTGTCTTTACAGGGATTTAAGCCCAGTTCTGGTACAGTTCAGGAACTGAATTTCCGCAGCAATAAGAATGTCTGGGGCTATTTCAGTGTTGCTGCTGCAGGAGGGCTTCATGAATTTGCTGATTCTCAATTTGGTCACTGCTTCTCTTGGGGAGAAAATCGTGAAGAAGCCATCTCGTAAGTAGTCAGAAAAGTGGTAGAACCTTGGAAATCGCTTGTTTTTATCCTCTTGGATCCAAAGTGCAATGGAAAAACAAGACTCTCTACTTCTAGGAGTTTTAAGAGAAGTTTCCCTCTCTTTACCTTGTTTTCCGTATCATGGTCAGGCTTTTTATCCTGTCTTGCTTTGCAGTTCCACACTATTGCACCTACATTTCCACACTTTTTGTTTACTTCTCTTTTTTTTTTTTTTCCTTTCTGTTTCATTCCTGCCTGGTATACCTTCTGCTGGGGTATGATACAGCTACCATTGTGTTGAAGTCCCTCTTTGAAAGCATTCAGGTGGAAGGCTTCTAACAGGAAAAAATGTTGATAACTTGTTATGCCAATGCCTTATAATGCTTTATAAACCATTGAGTGTCCTTATGTGGCATGGAACCTTAAAGCCTCCGGTCATAAGACAGGACTGTCTGACCTGTTATCCGTGCTGTTTTTCATCCAGAGCCTTTCCTCTGTTCCATTCTGGGTGGGATGGAGACCACGTCTGTCTCTTATGTACATTTCTGACATGTGGTAGGTGCCTGGATGATGATAACAGTGGGAACTCCTGATCTCATAGCCGATGGTGCCTGAGCTGCTCTTGTTCACGCCAGCAGCAGAATGAAGGAAATCAATATTCTCTCATGCCCAAGCATGTCATACAGGATCTTGCTCCAGTGCACGTGCTCTTCTGCTATTACCTTCAGACTGTTTTTTCCCAACAGCTCATGGGGAACTAACTTGAGTTACCAGCTCACACGTTACCGTTAGTGTGGGATAGATAACAGGGATTCTTTTCTCTTTCAGAAACATGGTAGTGGCCTTGAAGGAGCTGTCCATCCGAGGGGATTTCCGAACCACTGTTGAGTACTTGATTAAACTGTTGGAAACAGAAAGCTTCCAGCAGAACCGCATTGACACTGGCTGGTTGGATCGGCTTATTGCTGAGAAAGTTCAGGTGCAACTGGTTGCTTTACAGGACTATGAATTGGAGTGAGAGGGGAAGGGGGTGGGGGGCAAGCTTGGTGCATGCTGGTTGCAAGAGGGCAAGGATTGAGGAGTGATTAATTTCCACTTACCACTTTATGAAGAAATATTTTCACTGGCTTTAATTGTTATTTATATCAAAATCCCGTGTCATCCCTGTCACAGAAAGGTGACCTTAAAGTTGGCCAGAAAAACATCTTGGTGTACGTGTGAATTAAGGCTAGTATTTTGGTTTGCAGTTTGGGACAGATGATAGTGGAAATGTAGGTGGAACCTCGGAATTTGATCCAGGAAGATAAAAGTATGGTTTTCTTTTAAGGAGTTACAGAGGTAATTGCTTTTATATAGTGTTTGCATGCATGCTACACTAACTTGATTTTAAAGAGAGGTAGGCCATGAGCCAGAAATAGAGGTGAGAGTCTTGATTCTTCAGGTGGGTGTCCAGAGTGGACTGAAGCTAAAGGAGATGTAACTCTGTTGTGTACCCTTTCTTTCTAGGCTGAAAGGCCTGATACCATGCTGGGAGTGGTGTGTGGAGCTCTGCATGTGGCTGATGTGAGCTTCCGAAACAGTGTCTCAAACTTCCTCCACTCTCTAGAAAGGTAAAATTGCAAACTGATGTGGTGATGCTGGTACAATATATCAGCATTATAGCTGATAAGCAGATAGTAATTAGTTTTGATTTACAAGTTTTGTTCAAGTACAGTACAGTCCAGAAATGCACGGAGCTTGTTACCTGCTAACTGTTCTCTGGCCTCAGGAAGCTGTTTTATCTGCTGACCTAAGAAAACTGGCAGATGTCTCTGCATCTCCCCAAGATATCCCCTGCTGTTTGCACAGCTTGTTTTGGTTTCTGGCGGTTTTGGCAGAAGCTCCAAGAAGTGGCTCAGAAATGGGGAGTTCGTTCTCTGTGTGCTGCTAGGGCAACATTAGGGAGTCTTGAATCACCAGATACTGTCTTCCTCCTGTTTTGAGGATTGATTTCATCTTTCCAGATTTGACATAATTTTCCAAATCGAATGTTTCCCACTCATACTTGGAAAACTCTCTCTGCTGCTGCTGGCTTTAAAGTAGAGCAGGCACTGTAGGGAAACTAGTCGTAACACTCCGTTAGGCTAAACCTGGTGTGATCCAGGCAGGTCTGCTCTTAGAGTTCTTCCCCTCAGTGTCCTGTTGGTGGGTCCATACAGAAACAGCTACAGGGGGAAAAGCTGCTTTATCCCTATGTGAAGTCATGCTATGTGTTCTGTGATTCAGGCTGAGATGTTCCTTTTGCAGATCCTTCTCTAAGGCAAAAGTGGGTGAATGGAAAGGAGAGTAAAGCTGGTCTGTGTGGCTGGAGAGAGATGCGCTGGCTTTGTCAAACTGATACGTGTCGCTCCTAAGAAGAGACAGTTTAAAAGCCTGCTCCCATCTCTCTGCTAGTGTTTTCCAAGCTCTTGCATGCATCTTTGAAACTGCTTAGGCTCCTGATAGCTATTTGGTGGCTTCTGGAAGGCGAGTTTTGTTTTGTACTTCTCTTTCAAGGGGCCAAGTCCTGCCTGCTCATACTCTGCTAAACACCGTGGATGTGGAACTCATCTACGAAGGACGGAAGTATGTGCTGAAGGTACGATGCACAGTGTGGAAACCCATCCTCTTGCCACTCTTAGTTGGAAATGTCTGTTTGTATGCTGCTGCTGCTTAATCTTTGTAATACGTGTAATTATTTGAATTAAGTCTGTGCAGAGTTTGTTTTCTCTGCTTTAGTGGGGTTAAGAAATCATTATAATCTCCCTTATGGTAATACACCATCACGTCTTTCCATTGCAATATCTCTGGGTATTCGTGTAAACATTTTTAACCTTTTGGGGTCAAGAAATGCTTTGCATAGGGTGAAAAATACTTTGTTATAGGCAAAAACTACTGCCTGTTGGTTGGCCAAAACTTTCAATTGATATTTCTCAATATGTAGGTCTACTCTGTTGAGTATTTGAACCCAGTTTCATCAGCATGTCAGAATTTGTAGCAATTTTTCCCTTTAGTGTTGCTTTTTCTTTACTGTGTGCAGAAAACAATGTTAGAAATACTGTTTAAAGATTGCGAAACCAAGCATACAGAGGTTAGGAAATACTAGACTTAAGATTGTCTGGGGCAAATTTAGTCTGGTGAAGTTTTTAATGAAATGACTATATACCGCTTTTTACAGCTATAAGTATTTTGCACCCCTGTACCTCTGTGATTTTTATCTTGGCACCCCTTTGATGAGAAATAGAGAGGCACAGAGCAGCAGCTGAAGTATGCTTTAAGTGATTTACCCAGCCTCGAATGGGAACTCTGTAGCAGAGACTGTGATAGGATCCCCTTTTCAGGGAGAGCTTTAGCTGCTTTCCCTGTGAGACCATCTCTCTCTCTCTCTCTCTCTCTCTCTCCCTCCCCCCCCCTTTTTTTTTTCTTTCCAAATTGTCTCATTCATTATGCAGTTTTAGTACATGACTGTGACTTGTATGTAGATCAGGGTGAAGAAATGGTATATGGTTGCGTAATCAAACCTGTACAATTAATGTGTAAGTGTGAGAGGATTAAATCAAGATTCATGGACAGCACTAGTTCTGCCATCTCTTGACTGCTAAGTGCTTGGCTTTGTGATCCCAAATTTTTTTACATTGTTTTTTCCATCTAACACGAGAACAAATGGCTCTGTTCCCTTTCCTTAGTTCCCACTGTTGCAGTGCTTGGAAAAACTGTGTATGTTGTGGCAACCAAGACACTGTCAGTGCTGTGTTTATTTCATGTGATACGTACCATTCTCATGGATCTGCAGGTGACCCGACAGTCTCCCAATTCCTATGTGGTCATCATGAACAGCTCGTGTGTGGAAGTTGATGTGCACCGACTGAGTGATGGAGGACTGCTCCTGTCTTACGATGGCAGCAGCTATACTACCTACATGAAAGAAGAAGTGGACAGGTAGTAACCTGCAAAGATTAATGTTTGGCATTTACATACAAGTCAAAATTAGGTGTATTTGTAACTTTATGCTTTGCAAAGATCAGCTGGGAATGGAATCCGCTCCTACGAAGAGGTTACTAGGTGTATTATGGATGAGCTTAAAGGGAAAAGTTGCCTTCATCTGAAGAACAGATCTTGGCTGCTGTTCGAAGAAAGACCTGAACGTGTACCCATGTGGTGTCCATATTCTTCTGCTGGTTCTTTAAAAATGCCCCTTTGGATTATAAAACAAACAAAAAACCCCAGAACATGAAAATCTTTAAAATCCTTGAAACTCCACAGCTGCCTTAGAAATAGGTACAAGATTTACCATTTCAGTGCATTTCCTCAGAATTCCCTGCAGGGATCATAGCCATGAGGTCAGTGAATCTCCAGCTTTTGGAATGGGAGCCACTGTCCCCTCTGATGGTTTCTTTTCTGTGATAAATGTAACAAATCTGGTCAGGAGTACAGAGAGTTTGGGTAACTTTCTGGGTTGGAAAATGCTGTAAAATCTCAACCTCTCGATCTGCTACATGGGTGCATCGTGCTCTTTTCAGCTTTACCCTGTATACAAGAGGATTTTTCCATGAAGTGGGCAGTTTGGTGGATGTGTTGTGTGTTATGTATGGCAAGAGTAATCTCCACTAACATCAGTTTTTGTTTATATGAAATCTTGACCTTCATTGTTTCCAGTCCTGACAGTGAGTGATGCCAGCTGGTAGAGAACAAGCACAAAAGTAACATACATACAACCTTGCTAAGGGCTGTTCTATCTGGTTTCTGATCCCTGGCTTCCATAGTCCTGTTTTGATATGATTAATCTGAACTTTCATATGCAGGGCCGAACTGTTCAGCTCAGAAGAGCTGGTTGAGGTGTTTTTACTTAGTTTTGTTTTGAAGCAGAATAGAGAAAGAAAGAATGGCTTTTCCCCTTCCCATGCTTTCCATCGGAAATTCTGTTGCAGTGATTTGTCCCGTTCTTTCCTAGGTATCGCATCACTATAGGTAACAAGACCTGTGTGTTTGAAAAGGAGAATGACCCCTCCATTCTGCGCTCACCTTCGGCTGGGAAACTTATCCAGTATGTGGTGGAGGATGGGGGACACGTGTTTGCAGGCCAGTGCTTTGCAGAAATCGAGGTAAAAGAGTCTCAAAGAACTGATTTGGCTGCAGATGCTGAGTCTGTCCAGGCAAAAGCTGAGGGGAGGAAAAGTTGATTGCTTTGAAACTGGAAATTGAGTGCGAGGGATAACTCACAGTATTTCCTTCCCAAATTTTATCTGTGTTTTAACCTGGACTAATGCAGGAATCAGCAGTGAGAGTGATGGGATGGGGAAGAAATTAATTAACAGCTGAAATTTGAATGTTAATGACTGTATACCAAGTGATAAGCAAAATTTCTCAGCAGAGAGACTGTGGTTATCATCTTGCTGTGATACCAAGGGAGAGTGGGATCCATGTGTACTGGGTTTTCTAGCTGTGGAGAAGGCGGCCTTCTACTTGTAGACCACTACTTAGTACTAACACAGACTCAGAAGCAGAGTTATATGCCAGGATTAAGTAACAAATTAAGACATCTCTGATGACCTGATCATTTATCAAGTTGATCGGGTGAGTGTTGCTCCTCCCTTCTCCCTTTGAAGTTACTTGACTTAGAGAGGAGGAGGGTGAACAATTTCTGCATGACTGTGAGGAAAGCATGAGAGGTTGTGTAGGAGTGCATGGCTCAAAACAGATTTGAGGGAGGGGAGGGTGTGTGTTGACAGAGGGGCAATTAAACCAGTTGGGGACAATGTGTGGGAGAAAAATATCAAGCCAGAGATCCAGATATTTTATGTAAGTGCTTTTACGCTGCAACAGAGCCATGGCTAAGAGGGAACCACCTACTCAATTCCTGTGTTTCCAGTTGTGGTGTATGGTATAGCAAGGTAGAACTAGACTGTCTCCCTTCATATCCAGCCCTTCTGCTCCAAAGGCAAGAGCTTCCGTGGTTGATCTAAAGAAGCATCTGTGTTTGTGAAGAGCGATCTGAGACCTGTGACATCTAGAAAGTAATCCTAGTTCCCTTTGCTAAAAGTGAATGTGTTGCTGTAGCTTTTGAGGATGGTTCTCCCACTTCTAGCTTTTAGAGTGCAGCAGCTGCAGCAGCAAATTGCATCTGTGTTGTTCCTTGTGTTGAAAGTGGGACCTTCTTGGGTACCTGTTGGTCCAAGCAGTGTGGAGCAGGTGACGTTCCTGAGGATGGCTTCCTGCTGTGCTAATCTGTGGCCAGTTACTTTGTTCTACCATTCACTTTAGTGTCTGTTTGTTCCCAATGTGTGTGCTTTTAAGCCTTTGAGAAAGCCTGAATGCAAAAGGTGCTCCTGCAGGTCAGTGTGTCTGCAGTAGGACATTGGCTGCTGGCTCACAAAACTAGAACCATTTGGGGAATGTGGAAGCTGAGTGTGTAACCTGTTTTCTTTACTACAGGTGATGAAAATGGTGATGACACTAACAGCAGGAGAATCAGGCTGCATCCATTATGTCAAACGCCCAGGGGCAGTATTGGATCCAGGCTGTGTGATTGCCAAGCTCCAGCTGGATGATCCCAGAGAAGTTACAGGAAGCACAGATGTTTGTTGTGTTTTTAGTAGGGGAGTGATGTTGAGAGTGGTACGAGATGGTCCAGTGTACTGAACCAATTTCAGATTTGTGCATTGTACTGGGATTGTCACTTCACTATTTTTTGTCTCAGATGACTAGGACTCAGATTATTGTCTCTTTCTCTGAATCAGGTTAAGCTTACATACCATTCTTGTTCTCTTCTTACCTCAGTACTATTGTGGGTACATGGCTGTCTAGGATATTGGAGGGTGGCCAGATTTTTCTATCTACTTTATTCATATGCAAGTTTGTTTAACTAATTTTTATCATGTATTCTTCTTTAAGTGACCCTCTTTGGGAGGGTGGGAGTTGGTATCCTGACTCTGAGTGTCAGGCCCTGTGAAAGCAATTGTAGCAAATCTGGAAATACAAAAAAAGAGCCTAGGACATGGATCTTTTTTTAAGGTGAAAGGCAAAGAGATATATTCATTTAGGGATGGTAGGCTGGGATGTAGCTGATGGCGGTGGAAGAGAATCTGTTGTTCATTTAGCAATAGCTAGTTAAAGATTGTGGGATGTTGACATGCAGGGGTGGAAGGTGGTTGTCAACATCAAACTGTTGGCTTTTCCTGTGCTTTTCTTTGAGATTTTTGGTCATCTTGGATGTAAACAATGAGATCAACTGTAAAGTATTTGGGAGGGAGGCTGGAAGCTTATTTTGTGGGGGGTACACAACATAGAACTGTTGGAGATCCAGCTCATAACTTTTCTGTCCCTCGACCAAGTGCATTTTCCACTCTGGGAATTCCTGCAAGTTAAATCTGAACCTCCAGATGAAGGTAACTGGTTGTTACCAGCGTGGGTGATGCTGTACACCCATGGTGACACTGTGCCGTTCATTGTGTTTCCAGGCTGAACTGCACACGGGTACTTTGCCGCAGATCCAGAGCACGGCACTTCGAGGCGAGAAACTCCATCGCATCTTCCATTATGTCTTGGATAACCTGGTCAATGTGATGAATGGATACTGCCTGCCAGAGCCCTACTTCAGCAGCAAGGTACTGGTTACTTCTTGTTTCAAAGTGAGAGCACAAATACTCTTTCAGTTCAAGGTAAGGCTGGCCAGTTTGCATCTCACAGCCAAAGGATGAAGAGTCAGGACAGTACTACTTGGCAAGTGCCAGCTTGATTTGGTTTTCTTTCGTAGACTTCCTTATAGTCAGTCTCACCAGAGAGTAAGATGAGAGTGTCCCATCTGTGGCACCCAAACCATAAACAAAGAGAAGGAGTTGAGCTTGATCTTTATTGCTTCCACCTGCAGCCTTGTAGGTGGGAGCTGTGTGCATAGCCAGCTGTGGTAGAAGTCCTAGAGGGAGGAGGAAAGAAGGTGGATGAATCTGAGTCGGCTGTTGGTGTGAGGTAGCACAGCAGCTTTGCATCTGCCCCGGTTCTCTCTTTCAGTCCCTGGGCTAGCTGTGTGATAAAACAGTATTGAAGAAGACCACAGTAAAAAGCCTTTCCTTTTCTCCCTTCTTGCTGCTTATTCTTTTCTTCATGCTTGTCTTTAGACTGACTTGTGTCTCTCTAGGTGAAAGGCTGGGTTGAGAGACTAATGAAGACACTGAGGGATCCTTCTTTGCCTCTGCTGGAACTTCAGGACATCATGACCAGTGTTTCTGGACGGATCCCACCCAACGTAGAGAAGTCCATCAAGAAGGAGATGGCCCAATATGCCAGCAACATCACATCAGTCCTTTGCCAGTTTCCTAGCCAACAGGTGATCAACCACTCTTATATAGAGGAATAAAAATTGGTTTGTGTTGGGGCAGAGAGAAAGGTCCTTTAAATTGTCTGGAGGTTAGTTAGACCTGAAAGGTGCGTTTGAACCTGGGATCTTCATGATGAAGGATACTTATCTCTATCACCTGAGCTTAAAGGCTTGTCTGCTTTACCTGTGCTGAAGGATATGTGTTCCCTGCTCAGTATAGCTTTAAACAGGCAGTTTGGAAGCAGTTTAATCATATCAGTGGCCTTGTGGGCATTTATTTATTTGCTTTTTGCCTGGTACATATGCTGCAGCTCAATTTGTAGTGTCAGTGTAACCTTAAAAAAGAGTGATTGCAACTAAGGGAGGCCTGATCAGGTAATGAGATGTTGGAAGATGATTTCTCCAGTATATGATACTGTGCATTGATTTTTGTATCATTGTCAGGTCATTAACTTCCTTAGCAGTTTAAGGCTTTGGCCTTTGCTGGAGTCTGCTGGAGCTCTGGTCCAGTCTGTCTGGAAGTTCTCAGCTTCTCTACTGGTTGCTCGGCCAGATCGTCCCATCTGGGACTGGGACTGTCATGTGATTGCTCTTTTTCAGATTGCCAATATCTTGGATAGCCATGCAGCCACCTTGAACCGCAAATCAGAGCGTGAGGTCTTCTTCATGAACACTCAGAGCATAGTGCAGCTTGTACAGAGGTGAGCCATTTTCAGGGGTGCCTCTAATTCTTTTATTTTGTTTTTATTTTCTGCTCCTTGAAAGACTTGAGCCTGCTTGTCTGTCTTCAAATAGTTTTATTACATTCAGAGTCTAAGTCACTAGGAATAAGCCTGCATATTTCCCTCAGGGAGGTCAACAGTGAGGGGGCTGTGTGCATGGCTCCTGGCTGCCTGTGTGAAGCACACATAGAGATCTTCCTCTTTTTCCTTTTGCCATGTGAAAGAAACATTTAACTTCTGTCCTGACACTGATCACATCTTGGCCATTTCATCAAGCAGCTGGTGTGTGTTATACCTTTCAGTGTCTAGAGTTTTGAGTATTTTTAGAAGAAAAAGGACATTTTGATTCAAAACATGAGCCGTACTACCCCACAACAGTAATGGCAGGAGTTATGTATTCACGTAACAATTGGGGTTTTCAGAACTAGGTACGCTTCTTTCCATAAGCAAACAGGCCTATTCTGCCACTGGTGGTGAGTGTTACTCACTTGCAAGTCTTCAGAAGCAGGGCCGTGCCAGTCTCACTCAGTGCTGGGTTTGACTTAATTGCTTCTGCAGGTACCGGAGTGGTATTCGGGGTCACATGAAAGCAGTGGTGATGGATCTGCTCCGTCAGTATCTGAAGGTGGAGACTCAGTTTCAACATGGTGAGTCTCTAAGCACATCAAGGACTTGATTTCTGAAAGAACCATGTTTGATCCCAGAAGGTCCATGTGGACCCCCTTCAAGAAAGATTACTCTAACTGTATGGGGAGGCTAAGCTACACGGGTTTTCTTTTCAAGGTCTGCCAGTCAGATCCTGTTTTTTGTGGAGGAGCTTATGTCCAGTTTGAGTTTTTGTGGTAAGAATGCTCATAATGCTTATGAGAAGCAAATGACAAACCGCCCTGAAGCTGTCTGTTCTGCTGGTTTTCCACTGTTGGCATTATTCATCGTATTTTACATTTCATGTCATTGTACCACAGTTTGCATGTCATAATATGACTCTGCTCCTTTTCCATTTAAATCTTCAAAAGAATAGCTCCCATGTGAGTTTCTGATCCTCTAGGTGAGGCAGACTCTCTGAATTACAAGTTTCTTTGTGTTGCCATTTCCAGTCTGTTGTTGAGCTTGCTAAGGCTCAGCCAGTCTCTGTGATCTCTGCTTGTTCTAGATCAGAGTTGAAGCAGTTCTTCTTTGCGTTCCCTCACTGACTGTCAGCAGTGCCCCACCACTGGAGAGTTACCCCATTTGGGTATTCCACATGTAGAAGCTTCATATTAGAAGCTTGATTTTGATTGCCTGATTTCTGAGCATCTGCAGAAAAATTAGAATCAGAAAAACTGTTTAAATTCACATGCTATTTAGTTCTGTCTTAACTGTTTATTAAATTTGATAGTAAGAAAATCAGGTGCAGTTAAAAAAAAGGTCAATGAGTTATTTACACCTGCTGTAAAATACCAAGAAGCTGTTTGCTACTCATAAGAACAAACCTCAAACCTCAGCCTGAAACTGAGAATTGAAATAAATACATTGCACTGCTGTATCCAGGCACAAGATGGCAATGAAGCACTAGCTAATTTTGAGGCTCTAGCTCTTACAGGTAGTTCAGATTCTGCTCTACTTTTCTTTTGTCCTGCTCCATTACCTGCACCAGCCTAATGGTACTGCAGATTCATTTCCACTTCAATTTGCTGGTAGTAGAGGATGGTGCAAGTCTTTTTGCTGTTATTTTATTTTGGTTGTCATTTGAATGAAAGGCTGAGCTCACCATTCCTCTCTTTGTATTGCTCACAAAGGAGGTATTTGGTATTGGAACTGTTTTAATAACAGTAGGCTGTTTAAATTAAAGTTTGCAGTTGAGGGGGTGGTGGTGCAAGGATTGCTTCCTTCCCAGGATAAATTGTGTGGACCATGCAAAGTAGATTCTCAGAACATCTATGTAGAAAAATAAAGACACATCTAGTAACTTGTATTTCTTGACAACAGAGGTGTGGAGACTGGGAAAAATGTGCGTTTCTGATTGCAGGTCACTATGACAAGTGTGTCTTTACCCTTCGGGAAGAGAATAAAAGTGATATGAATGCTGTATTGAACTACATCTTCTCGCATGCTCAGGTCACCAAGAAGAACCTGCTTGTTACGATGCTCATTGTAAGTTGTCTATTGGTGCTCTAGAAATGTGCTGCTTCTTGTAGTTCTGTTAGATGCTTTGAAAGGTACTGAATTGACAGCTCTTATACTTAAATATGCAAGCTTTCTAGCTACAGAAGCAGTGGCAGCAGCGTGGAGTTTCTTCCTGTGTTCTTAGGGCATGTAAGCCATGCATTAGAGGAGACCCAGAACGTACTGTTTGGCTCAGTGTGCACCTTCTGGTTCATGACTGTCCTGCGTTGATTGCTTGTCAGAGTGCAATGAAGGCTAATTATGCAAGTGATTTGTGAGCATCTGTGGGGAGATAAGAATGCAGACTTAACTCTTATATTGGGAGGATGCTAGAGGCTAACTTTCAGACACTGGGCTGTGACTTTATACTTGGTTTAGTTTGCTACTTCATCTTCAGGGGTCTCAGAGAGTGCTGTCTTTATATAGCTTGTGGTACTCAAACTGGAGTTGCTTGGAAAGCAAAGCGATATGCTATCAGCACAAAAAGCAGATTTTTTTTGTGGTAATAATTCTGTAATAGCCACATTTTTATGGTCCTTTCTCCATTACTAATGAGGGTGACTTCCTGGTAGTGAATGGCATTAGCCAGCCCATATGGAGGCCCATGAAGGGTTTTGCATGCTCTTCCTTGGTGAACCGTAGTTTGGTCTTATAGGTTTGGCAGTGGCTCTCTTGGCTTCTTCCTGGTTATAGTCTCAGAAAGCCTTACCTCAGGCCTGCAGTGGTGCTTCTGGACCGGCTGTACCTGGGCTGCATGATGGAGTGTGACTGGGACGCAATATCTCAGCACAGAGCTGGTCACTCCACATCAGGCCTCTGACCCTTGGGATGGTGCGCGGCTGTCCGGGGGCTTGGAAAGGGATGGGGAATCTCCTGGGGTCAGAATTCCTCTTGGACAGACATAGATTCCACACTAGAAACACAACTGAATCTTCATGCCGGGACCTACCATCCCCTTCCCATGTTCTTCTGGCTTGTAACTCCATGAAAAAAATCTCAGCTTTCATTAACTTCAATCCCACTCTAATGGGTAAAACTCCCAGTAAATTACATTCCCAGGAAAAATAATTTAAAAACAACAATTAGGTCAGTATCTCTTTTCCTGTTTCCTAAAAAGCCTCAAAAAATCCTGTCCCACATAATGCTTTGAAGCAGAATAAATGCCTACCTTCTTCAAGGTGGGATGAATTTACCTACGACATGATTTTCGACAGGCTAGAGTTAGGAATCCTGCTTTTTAAGAGGCTAATTGCAATACTCTCTCTCCCTCCCCTCCCTTTTCTGTTTGTGGTTTTTTTTTTTTTTTTTCTTTTTCCCCCTCAGACATAATGTGGTCTGTTACTGCCAAAAATATGTCCAAAGTAGCCATCCACAAAATAACTCTCAAAAGCAGAAAAAGAGTCATAATTGTCCTAGGCTGAGGCTGGGTTTCTTAAATTCTAATTTGTAAGATATAAGGACCCTGGCATTCATTCTTTCTGGCTCTCTCTTTTTTTTTTTTTTTTTTTTTTTTTTT